CAGAGGACTTAGCTCAGCCATGCTGTGCCTGGACTTCTGACCTACAGAACTTGAGATAATAATAAATGGGTGTTGTTTTAGATACTATGTGATAATCCGTTACAGCAGCAATGCAAAACCTACACCCAGTTTGTAAACTGACCACTGCAAGGCATTGTGAATGATGTGATCTTTCAGGAGTGTGAGCCCGAGCAATGGGCAGAGGAGGAAACAGCCAACTGCTGATGAAGGGGGAAAAGACTTCTCAGTAAAGGAGGAGTTTGAGCTAGGTTTTGAAGGAGCAGTGTCTTAGGTCAGATTCCCCCAGAAGCCAACTCCAAGAAAAAAAATTTGAGGGCAAGTAGCTGTTTTAGGGAATAATCCCAGGAAAAAACAAGTAGAGGAGTGAGAAAGTGAAAAGGGGAAAGGAAAGAAGTCAATAAAATTGAATTATCAAGCAAGCTAGCAAGTGCAGGAACTTAACAAGTACAGGATCAAATGGAACTTAATCCTCCTGAGGATGCTGGAAAATAGTGTAGACCATTTCTCAGAACTACCATATTCAAAGGACAAAAGCACAAAGGAATGACCAACACCCATCATCCCTGGCTGAGAGCTTCTCCCAGGGCATCAATTTTCTGGTAGTTCTGGCCTGTAATGTATGCATGCAGAGCAGGCACCTGCACTTCAGAAAGCTCTCAGGCAGAAAGCTGCAGGTGCTGGCCGTTGGAAGTCTGGCTGGCATGGGCTGAACTGGTGGGGGCAACAGGATATGGGTGGAACACCTATAGCACCTGCTACAAGTGGTGAGGGTTTACCAGGCAGTAGAAAACAACTGTGCACACAGAGGCCCCTAAAACATGCAAAGGAGGGTTGCGAAGGAGTTCGTGGGGTCGGGTCTGCAGTCAGACACACAGGGGCTTGAATCTTGATTCCACCTCCTTGCTACTTGTGTCTCCTTGGGCAAGTAACCTTGCTGCTCATTGTGTTATCTGTACAATGGGAATTGTATGTACCTAGCCCAGTGGGTTGTCGCAAAAATTCAATTAGATGTTTTAAAAGGGGATGGTGAACTCTTATTTAACATCATATACAAAAATTAACTCAAAATGGATCAAATCTAAGCATTAAAGCTGAAACAACAAAACTCTTCAAAGAAAACATAGGGCAAAATCTTCATGATATTGGATTTGAGAATGATTTCTTAGAACACCAAAGGCTCAGAAAGCAAAAGCAAAAATAGACAAATTTAACTCTGTAAAATATTAAAAACCTTTGTGCATCAAGAACAGTGTCAATAGAGTAAAAAGGCAAATTATGGAATTGGAGAAAACATTCACAAATCATATATCCGATCAGGGATTGATATCCAGAATATACAAAGAGCTCTTAAACTTCAATAAGAACAACAAAACCTTATTAAAAAATGAGCAAAGAGGACTTCTGGCCAAGATGGAGGCATAGGTAGACACACTGTGCCTCCTCGCACAACCAGAATAAGGACAACAACAATTTTAAAACAAAATAACAACCAGAACTGACAGAAAATTGAACTGTATGAAAGTCCTATGACCAAGAAGTTAAAATAGACACATTTATCCAGACCTGTAGGAGGGGCAGAGTATAGTGCCTGGGTGGAGAGGGGTTGTGGCAAAAGAAAAGGCAGTGGCGCCAGGTGTGCAAGGCAGCAGTGAGTGGACCCTGGGCACACAGGTGGGAGCTGGTAGACCCCAGGCACATGGTAGCAATGGGCAGACCCAGCAAGGTGGCTGGCTGACCAGGTGGTCCCACATTCTCGCACAGATAAACCAGGTGAAATTGGGGAGCAAGACAGACTGTGCAACCCAGGGTCCCAGCATGGGGAAATAAAGCCAATTGAAAACACCTGTGGGGGTTGAGGTGCCGGGAGAGACTCCCAGCCTCACAGGAGAGTTGGTTGGACAAACCCACAGGGCCCTAGAATGTACACAAGCCCACTCACATGGGAATCAGCACCAGAAGGGCCCGGTTTGCTTGGGGGAAGCAGTGGAAGGGACTGAAATTCTGTAGCAGAAAGCAGAGCAAGCGCCATTGTTTCTTCTCAAACCCTGCCCCCACATACAGTGTCACAACTCAGCCACTGGGTTGCCCCGCCCTGGTGAACACCTAAGGCTCCACCCCTCACTAAGTAACAGGTGCAACGAGACAAAGAAAAAAAAAATGACCCAAATGGAAGAACAGATCAAAGCTTTAGAGCAAATACAATTAAGCAAGGAAGAGATAGCCAACCTATCAGATGCACACTTCAAAGCACTGGTGATCAGGATGCTCACAAAATTGGTTGAATTTGGTCGCAAATTAGATGAAAAAATGAAGGCTACACTAAGTGAAATGAAGGAAAATGCACAGGGAACCAATAGTGATGGGAAGAAAACTGGGACTCAAATCAATGGAGTGGACCAGAAGAAAGAAACAACTGAACAGAAAAGAAGGAAGAAACAAGAATTCAGAAAAAATGAGGAGAGGCTTAGGAACCTCCAGGACATCTTTAAATGTTTCAACATCTGAATTATAAGGGTACTAGAAGGGGAAGAGGAAGAGCAACAAGTAGAAAAGTTATTTGAAAGAAACTTCCCCAATCTAGAAAAGGAAATAGACTTCCAGGAAGTCCAGGAAGTTCAGAGAGTCCCAAAGAAGTTGGACCCAAAGAGGAATATACCAAGGCACATCATAATTACATTAACCAAGATTAAAATGAAGGAGAAAATCCTAGAAGCAGCAAGAGATAAGGGGACAGTCACCTACAAAGGAGTTCCCATCAGACTGTCAGCTGATTTCTCAAAAGAGACCTTGCAGGCAAGAAGGGGCTGGAAAGAAGTATTCCAAGTCATGAAAGGCAAGAACCTACATCCAAGATGGCTCTATGCAGCAAAGGTTTCATTTAAAATGGAAGGGCAGATAAAGTGCTTCTCAGATAAGGTCAAGTTCAAGGAGTTCATCATCATCAAGCCCTCATTATATGAAATGTTAAAGCGACTTATCTAAGAAAAAGAAGATAAAAAACACGTATAGTAAAATGACAGCAAACTCACAATTATTAACAGTCGCACCTAAAACAAAAATAAAAACAAAATAAGCAAACAGCTAGAACAGGGACAGAAGCACAGAAATGGAGATCACATGGAGGGTTAGCAACAGGGGAGTGGGAGGAGGAGAGAGGGAAAAGGTACAGAGAATAAGTAACATAGATGGTGGGGAGAAAATAGACAAGGGGAAGGCAAGAATAGTATGGGAAATGTAGAAGCTAAAGAACTTATGACACATGGACATGAACTAAAGGGGGGAATGGTGGGGGAGGGGGTGTGCAGGGTGGAGGGCAATGAAGGGGGGAAATAGGACAACTGTAATAGCATAATCAAGAAAATTTATTTAAAAAAATTTTTTAAATGAAAAAAATGAGCAAAGGATCTGAATAGACATTTCTCAATAAAGAAATACAAATGGCCAATAAACACATTAAGAGGTGCTCGACATCACTAATTGTTAGAGAAGTGCACATCAAAACCACAGTGAGATGCCACTTTATGCCCATTTAGTATAGCTACTATATTTTTTTAAAAAAAGGAAATTATAAGGGTTGGTGAAGATGTGGAGAAACTGGAATCCCACTGTTGTGGGGATGTAAAATGGCATAGTTGCTGTGAAAATAGTATGGTGTTTCTTTCAAAAAATTAAATGTGGAATTACCATATGACCCAGCAATTCCATTTCTGGGTATATATACAAAAGAATAGAAAGCAAGTTCTCAAAAAGATATTTGTATACTTATGTTCACAGCATTATTATTCACAATCGCCGAAAGGTGAAAGCAACCCCAAAGTCCATTGACAAATAGATGGATAAGCAAATTATGATATATATAAATATATCATAATATATATACATATAACACACATATATATACACACACACGCACACAATAGAGTATTATTCAGCTTTAAAAAGGCAGGAAATTCTGACAGGCTACAACATAAACCTTGAGGACTTTATGCCAAGTGAAAAAAGCCAGTTACAAAAAGACAAACATTGTTTGAGTTCACGTATATGAGGCACCTGGAGTGGTCAGAATCATAGTAACAGAAAGTGGGGTGGTGGTTGCCACAGGCTGGGACAGTATGATTGGTGGGGAAGGAAGAATTATTGTTCAATTGGTACAGAGTTCCAGTTTTACAAGATGGAAAGAGTTACAAGATGGATAGTGGTGTTGGTTACAGAATAATGTGAATGTGCTTAATATCACTTAATGAGCTTTTGTGAGTCAGAGCAGGCTTCCTTCCAACCTGATATGCCATTTGTGGGGGAGTGCTTGTGTAGGTGGAAAAAAATCCTTTAGGTTTTCTAATAGTACTCTCGCCACCCTCGGCAGCTGCTTCTGCTGCCACTTCTTCCCCTCCCCCCTCCCATTCTTCTCCTTCTCCTTCTCCTTCTCCTTCTCCTTCTTCTTCTTGTTCTTCTTCTCCCTCTTAAGTACTGTGAATCAAAAATATTGATGTGCAATACTCTAGGTCTAGGAACTCAAGAGAAGGTGGCCATCTTTTTTTTACCCAAGTTTGCATATACTTTTCTATAAGAGTATGACTTGTAATAAAGAGTTAACAAAGAAAAAAAAGAGAAGGTTGTCTTTATGGCTTTTTCTGTGAAGGCAGAATTTGAGCAAACTTATTCAGATAAATGACTATGTTCCTGGTGAATCTATTGGCGTAAATATAAATTCCAGTTAGATTAAAATGGGAAGAATTTCACAGCCAAGCTTATGAGGTTGAAATGCCCAGCTGCTCTTGAAATCCTTTTCCTCTTTCTCCTGGGACCCATAGATACACATTTCCCAGCCTTCTTGCAGTTGGGCAGAGCCAGGGGACTGTGTTCTGGTTAGTGAAAGGTTAGTGGATGCAAAGTGCATCACTTCCAGGCAAAGCAGTTGAAAACTCCCCACTTTCAAAGCCAGTAATATCCAGTTCACGCTGTCATCTTTCTGGTTCCAGTTCTGCTGCCTGCCTCTTACATTGATGAGGACGCTTGTGATTACATTGGGCCCAGCAGATAATCCAGGATAATCTCCCACGCCAAGGTCTGCTGACTGGTGATCTTAATTCCTTCTACAACCTTAAATCCCCTCTGCCACATAATTTAACATATTTACCGTTTCCAGGGATTGTGATATCTTTGATATTATTTTACATACCACATAGACCAAACACAATTATACAATCTTAGATTTTATTTATTTATTTTTAGAGAGAGTGGAAGGAAGGGAGAAAGAGAGGGAGAGAAACATAAATGTGTGAGAGATACATGATCGGTTGCCTCTCACACGCCCCCAACTGGGGACCTGGCCCACAACCCAGGCATGTGCCCTGACTGAGAATTGAACTGGTGACCTTTTAGTTTGCAGGCCAGCACTCAATCCACTGAGCCAGTGGATTCCTAAAAAAGATTTAAGGGGGTGTGCACACCCATCTAGATACCTTTCATTTATGTTTTCATTAAGCATTTGTAGCAGACATTTGTGATATGCTACGGCACACCCTTTCAATGCACCTGATTTCATGTGATTTTGGTACAGTTCATGCACTTTGCCAGCACTCTTCATAAAGCATACCTGGAAACAGCACTCTGCTTTCTCCAAGGTAGCAGAAGATACCCTAGTCAAATTCAGGTAACTTGAAAGTACAAGGGAGTTAACAGCCCCAGGAAGCAATGTTCCTCTAATGGGGGGTGAATCACTGGTAAAGTGCCACAACTACCACCCTCTGGTGGAAAGCACACTTCTGGTGTGCTTTCTCCCTAGTGCCAGCAGGACTGCACCTCAGTCGCCCACAGTGTTAACTAGCTCATTGGGGCACCTGCGCTGTCTTCTCTTCCTTCCTTGTCTCGTTCTTCCCAGGCCCTTCCTTCTGCTTCCTGGGATCACCTGCCAAATGTCCTCTTCTCTGATTTGGCTTTTGAAGGGAATCCAACTAAGACAGCACTTATTACTGATAATTTATGGATAGTTAATGAGTCAGATCTCTGCAGTATAGACCTGTGCCAGTACAAACCAGTACAGCTTGTTTACAGGCAATCTGTTCTGACTGGCTGGCATGAGTTTACTTGGTCAGTGCCCTTGTCACACAGGGCATCTGCCACTAATAAAGTCTGTCAACATCTAGCATAAATGACTATCCCTGACGTGTTCTTCTTGGTTAGCTATGGGGTTCTAGCTAGGGATATGTTGGAAGGGAATAGAACTGTCTTAAGATGCATTCTCGGTGGGCCATGTGCTAAAAAGGCCTGTGTGCCTAAAGTGAGAAGAAAGGGTTATTCGAGGTTGTCTTTTTTTCCCTTAGTTCAGGCTGAGGTCAGGGTTGTTTATTTGAATTCTGGCAATAACCCTGGGAATTCATTTAGGTGCCAAGAAAGACTGTGCTCCAAACCACACAAGGCATCAGACGTGAGCCCAAAGGAAGACACCAGGGCTTTGTCCCAGACACAGCAAGCACCTGACGACTTTTGAGGGGTGGGGGTGGGGGTCATGCATCATTTGTCAGCTAACGTGGACATTACTTAATCAATGTAGCACAGGGAGATCAGGTAGAAGGCAAAGATGCAGACTTCTAGCAGACTTTTATCATCTCTCTCTGGTATGTAGCCATTCTCTTATGAAACCTTACCTTCTCCCCCAGGTGTTGGCAGAAAGCTGAGAACGGGGCTCAGCACTCTGAACACCCCTGCCAGCACCTTCCCAATGTCAGCAAAGTTGGGCCGTGATGCTGTCACTACAGAGGCCGTAACTGATCCCGCCCGGAGCGCTGGCACTGGGTGGCCCTTCAGAGTTGTCTTGGATTGATGCAGCCAGTCTTTGGACACAGGCTACCCCCAGGAAGGGCACGGAGTCTTGGTCAAAACAGCCACCAGAGGCCAACCCTCCTGGTAGCTGAGGGGATGAGTGTCTTGGTCCTGAAGAGGGGGTCCTGGCAAGGCACCAGAGCATGCATTTCATGCTGCATTACTGCCCCCCCACTCCTGCTTTCCCCAAGGCACCACATCCCACCCTCATCATCCTCATCTTTGGTAACCTTCAGCCTTCCCTGGAAACAGGAAGTGTTGCTTTTGCATTATAGATACTGGACTTTCTTTCCTGGGCATTATGGGCTGAACCATTAAGGCAAAAACACTGACATAAAAACTCTTAATTAAGGCCCTGGCTGGTGTAGCTCAGTGGATTGAGTGTGGACTGTGAAAGTGTCGCAGGTTCCATTCCCAGTCAGGTTACATGCCTAGGTTGTGGGCCAGGTCCCCAGTGGGGGCCATGTGAGAGGCAACCACACATTGATATTTCTCCCTCCTTTCCCCTCTCTCTAAAAATAAATAAATAAAATCTTTAAAAAACCCTCTTAATTAAGAAGTTCATGTATGAATATTCTGAATGAGTCTGGTATGAGGTGATTATGGTGATTACATCCACCTGTGTGTCCCTAAGAAATAGTTGTGTTAGACCAGCTGTACTGAAAAGCCGTCTTTGTAATGTCTCTGGTCCCACTTCTGCAGCCACCAGAGACACCTGCAACTTTGTTGCTGGAGTCCCCAACCTCACGCATCTCTTTAGTCCACTGCTTCAGATCCTGGATGCAGGAGGAAGTTGCAGGGCAGGCAAAGAATGGGAGAGACCCCCACTGATAGGACGAATGAATGCTTACGAGGGAAACTGTGAGCAGGAGGCTGAAAAACAGGCAGAAGAAGGTGATGGTGAGGAAGAGGATGGAAATGAAGGTGGGGAGTTTGAGGCAGCTACGGGCAAAAAGGATGATGATGTTTTCATTGATGAGGATGTCCGAGCAGCAGAAAAGAAAAAGTTAAACATGAGAGAAAGAGAAAGGAAGAGAGAGAGGAGGAGGAGAGAAAGAGAGAGAGGGAGAGATAGAGAAAGGCCACTTTGACCTATTTACCTATTCACCTTCCGCTTGTCGCTCAGAATCCAAATGTAGTCACCTTGGACTAGATTCCCTCCTACCTGCCTACTGTGGGCAGGGCCACCCACAGGTGACACACACTCTCCACCACCCAGCCAAAACCACAAGGTCAATTTGCAACAGAGGAAGTAAAAAGAACCAAAAGTTTCAAGTCCCTGCTCTTTCTCCTTAAAAGTACTTCGAAAAATATCGGGGTTTGGGGGTATTTTTTTATACTTTATGCTTTTGTTAGTCTTGCTTAATGATCTCAGATGATCAAACATGACTTCAGAGCATTCTCTGTCCAACTTGACATGTAGTGTGATTTTTAAAAAGATTTTATTTATTTATTTTTAGAGAGAGGGGAAGGGAGGGAGAAAGGGAGAGAGAGAGAGAGGAACATCAATGTGTGGGAGAAACATCAGTGGGTTGTATCCTACAGCACACCCTCAACCAGAGACCCGGCCCACAACCCAGGTGTGCGCCCTGACTGGGAATCAAACCAGCAACCTTTCAGTTTGTAGGCCAGTGCTCAATCCACTGAGCCACACTAGCCAGAGCAACAACAACAAAAATCTTATTCTGAGCATTCATTAACTTCGTGTGTGTGTGTGTACATTGTGGGGACCCAGTTGGAACCCCAGAGTTAGCATAAAGATTATTTTAATCTTTATTATTTTATACAGAAAAAATAGCCGCCCCAGTCTTCCCTTATCTGACCAATAGCAGCAACTTCTGAGAAATGAAGCTGCCATAAATTCCTTAGGAGGGGTAATGTTGTGACCCTGAGGAAGAGAGAAAGGCCTATGTGGGCAAACTTTTGGCAACCTTGTCTCTCGAAAACCCACTGGTCTTTTTAAAAGAAACCTATTTGTTCTTCCCACAGAAGCTTTCTCCTCCTCCCCTTTCCCTTTTCAAGTTAGGTATATATGCCTTTAACTTTATTTGACAAGCCAGCTACTTCCTTTGTTGGCTCTTATATGTGTACAAGATAAAACCTTTTCTCTTATAATCTGCTTATTTATTTGTTTGGCCTGTTTGATGTGAAACCATGCCTTCCAACAATTAGCTGGAATTTTATTTTGCTGAAATGTTCTAACAGCAACAATAAAAGTTGGAATAATAAATAATAATTGTAGTATAATTACTGTGCACCAGGCATCATTCTGGGTCTTTTACAGATATTGATTCCAAAGAATGAGTGAGGAGAACAAGATGAAGCCAGTAGAGCTAATCTGCCAGTAGAGTCTGCACAGTCAAGCTGACAAAACTAGTTCAAAGCACACGGGCTGAAGCATAAGGAACAGATGTTAACTTTAACTAGCCCAACGACTTCAACTTTTGAACTTTGTAGCTATGCATCAATATTGGAAGATTATATATATACTAAGATAACCCTCTGAAGAACATAGGAAAGAATGTTCATGTATCCAGACCACCTGACATTCGTTATTCAGATTGCCCAGCATCTATTATACAGACCACTGGACATCTGGAAGATTACCATCCTGGACCAATCCAGAGGCTAAGACTGCAGGGCTGATGCATCTCAAGAATATATATTTTTTATTATAAGAACTGTCAACATTTCTCTTTTTGTTGAAACACTCCGGGTGTTGTCAGGTAGTGTTTCAGATTTGCAAATCCTAAGACCTTGAATAAAACTTTGCCACTTTAAATGTTAGTGAAGCTTCCTGATTCATTCATGCTCAGCGGACAATTCATTCATCCTCACAACTCCATGATGTATACAGATGCAAAAATGGAGTCATAGAGAGGTAAATCAACTCACCCAAGGTCACCCAACCAGGAGGCATCGGTATGGACAGGTGAGAAATCATGACCTTCTCTAGAAGTACCTCAGAAGTAGCCCCACTGATATCAGACAGTCCTGGATTCTGAAACTCAAGAAGCCTCTTCTCTGTTCATTGTGATCTTCCCAAATCACAGATGGACAGTACTTTCTGTAGTTCTGGTTTTTGAAAAACATTTTCTAGCTCTGGATTTCAGGAAAAAGGATGCATCCTCTTCCTCCTTTCAATTCTAGGTTAATCCCTTGTTCTGTAGGATTTTCTCACTTTCAGACGTCCTCATTCCATTGTTTTGTTCTCCTGTCTTTGTTATGCCTGTATCTCTTGTTCTAAGACAGTTTTAAATAGTGTTTTTATCTGTTTCTAAGTGGTTTGCTGGTGAAGGCAGGCTGCCTAGACTGGGCCAGGACACAATTGTAATGCCATGTGGTTGCTGGAGTTGCACTATTTTTCACAGGTTGTGAACTGAAGTGCATAAAGGTGTGGGTATTGCTACAGTTTTCTTTAGCATTTTCATGGAAGCATAAGAAATAAATCTTGTTGCGTTGCACTGCAATGACTAAGCGTGTGGGGAGTGAAGTTACCAGAATGGGCTGGCTATGGAGAGTTCCGGAAAAGCAGAGTAGCAGGTGTCAAGGCTCAGGTAGGGTAATACTCAGGTTTCACAGCTTTACCCACATTGACATTTGATAAGCGATCGCTGAGCTCATGCAGCCTCTGTCCTGGGCATTCAACTACAACCTGGAATGATTCAACAACGATAAAGTAGGAACTTCATTTACTCAGGTATGAATGTGCAGAGTCAGCCAACCTGTCATTCTGTTCAGTAAGCACTAAGTGTCTTCTTTGTATCTGGAAGCACCTGGGATTTGGAGAAATAAAAATTAATAAAGTGGGGACTTTACAGCCAAACAAAGAAGACAGCTAAAGGGACAGGTAGGAAGCTGATGCAATAATCCACATGAGAAATGGTAAGAGTCTGAATTTGTTACAAGACCTGAGAAGATGTGAAGTTAAATAGGCCTTTGTTCCTATTTTGAGTGTTGATCATCTGTATCTGAAGTCTTGGCTAAGTCACTGTGGGAAAGTGAATCACAAGACAGAATGGAAAGACGAAGGGAGGAAATATTGTCCCAACACTGTTGAGGAAGCTCTGAGGAAGTAGAAATATTTCTACCACCGTATGTGGCTGAGCTGCAAGAGTAACTCACTCGTTTCTTTATAGCAGTTACTTCCAGTCAGGTGATATTTTCCTGGAATCAGTAAATTGAAAGAGGAAATGTGCAGTTATTTTTAACTACAGCACATGTAAATTTGGGGGGCACAGGCATCTTTGGTGCACTGGTTGGGATGTAGATGCGTTTCCTGAAAACAGAGGAGTCTCTTCGGCTTTCCTCCCATATATTGTAGGTGTCCTTTTGACAGTCTGCCCCATTGATGGAGCAGATAAGTCAGCAGGCCTGCTGTGAGCAAACCGATTACTGTATTTGATTCTACATGCGCAAAAGAACTCAAGTCATTCAAGGTTAGTTTAAAATAGAACACCCCAGTAATGTGATCAGTATGGAACAAAGACTCCGCAGCAGAGAAGCGGGGACAGAGAGAAAAAGATACCTCTGGCTGGCAATCCTGCAGAGACTTCCAGGAATAAGCAGGCAGCAGGCTCAGAATGCCACTGATATCTGGTGTCAGCTCTGCCCAACGGGCCAGCATGGCCTTGTGACTTCTCTCCAGCATTCCACACAGTCATCCCATTTGCAACTTGTCTATGGAATTAGCGGAGGTGACAACGAATAATGTTTTCAGCTGCTTGAATGTCACGGTCCTTCTCTCTTCTAGAGACATATGGATATAGTATCTTTTATGAAGCCTAGCAAATTAACTGTGGAGATAAAAATACAGCAACACTGTAGCAGAATGCATAGCTCTTGGCTGTCTCTAACTCCACCTTTTCTGAGAGTAGACAGGGATAACCTAGGTTAGCTCACAGAGATACTGTGTTGTAGTATGTACTGCTCCCTGCTAGCTCCACCCTCATCATGGTTTCCTGGACTTTAATCTTCTGGCCTTTGATGCTTTGAAACTACTGCTGCTTCTACTGCTACTGCTATTGTTATAATGGCTAACACTAAGATCAAGTGATACCTGGAGTACATTATGCTCAAGGGAATTTCTTTCCTGTCCCAGGTAGGCCAAAGACACTACAACCTTTGAGGTTGCCGGTGTATCCATGCCCCTGGTGAAGAATTGATGTATGAGCCAAGATTGCCAGCGAAGCAGGAGAACTCCTCCCACCCCTACCTTTGTCTCACACTCTACTGTACTTACTAAAATTTACAAATGAAATAGAACAGGAGACCCTCTGTTCTACCTATTAGGCTGCCAAAATCAAAATGTCAAATACACTGTGTCAGGAAGGTCACAGAGAAACAGATATGACGGGTGGAATGTAAACTGATATAATGCTTTGGGAGAATAATTTAATCATATCTATCACAATTTACAATGCCAACACCATCTGACGCAGTAAATTTATCCCCAGTTGATTCTTCAACATGAGCAAAACTGCATGTGTAGGAGGACAATCCACGCAGGTGTGTTGTTTGTAAGATGGGAAACACGGAATAGCAGACACTGCGGGAACTCGCCAGATTCCCTTTGCTCCCCTCTGAGTTCACCTGTAGGCATGATGGAAAGTTCTGTCTGCGCCGACACGACTTCTCACCTCCAGCCACCGGCAGATCCCTCAAAGGCGAAACACTCAACCATTGAGAAGGAAAGATGGTGTGTAACTTAGTCTTCTTGGGCCGTCATAACAAAACACCACCGACTGTGTAGCTTAAAAAAACAAACAAGCAGAAATAAGGCCTCTCACAGTTCTGGATGCCGAAGTCCAAGATCAAAGTTCTGGCCAACTCAGTTCTGATTAGGACTCTCTTTCTGACTTGCAGAGAGCTGCCTTTTTGATATGTCCTCATGTGGGCTTTTCTCAGCATGTGCACGGAGAAGGAAGACGAGAGTGGGTGGGCAAGCTCTGATATCTTTGCTTATAATGACACTAATAAAATCAGGGCCCTGCCTTATGACCTCACTGAACTTTAATTACTGCCTTAAAAGTCCCATCTTCAAATACAGCCACACTCAGGGTTAGGGCTTCCACATATGAATTGGGAGGTGGGGTGGGGGAGGGGACACAGACATTCAGTCCATAACAGTGAATAAGCCCCCAGCTTCCCCATCCCTCAGAGCGATGTTTCTGAAGCATGTTCCACGCAGTTTCTCAGAGGATACCCAGTGGGATTGAGCCCAAGTTGCCCTAAATTGTAACTTGCTCGTTTATCTGTTTTATCATGGCTTTTCTCCCTCTTTTCTCACTGAGCTTCCTGGAGCCACCTCCTAAATGAATAACCTGCACCCAAGATGTTGTTTCAGGGTCTGCGGATGAAACAATATTTTGAGTAATCAGTGCTTGGAATCTACACAGGCAGCTGTAATATTCTGGTTCCTCGTTGGTGCCAGTTCACACTGCAGCACGGGGTAGGCTGGAGCTGGAGAGACCCTGGCAATGGGTCTGCCCAGAGAAAAGGCGAAGCAGGGAACAGAGGACAGACCTGCATCCGCAATACCAGGAGTCCCAGAGGGGACGCCACCATCACTAAGCACATCATAGACAAACAGGCAGGACTCCAGGTCCCATGGAACCCAGCGTATACCCACAGAGAGACTGATTACAGTTACTAAACAGCCTCTGAAACAAGGCAGAGTTTGAAACGTCAAAGTATGTTCTCCCTGGCAAATTGTTGGAAAGTTAGTTTTGGAGAGTTGGAATTGAGGCTATTTTAATTTTTATCACCATTGATTACTTGTCCTGTTCTTAAATTTAAAAAAAATGTTTCATTTATTTATTTTCAGAGAGAGGGCAAAGACGAGAGAAAGGGAGAGAAACACCAATGTGAGAATCATCAGGTGGCTGCCTCTTGCACGCTCCCAACCAGGGACCTGGCCTGCAACCCAGGCATGTGCCCAGACTGGAAATCGAACCAGTGGCCTTCTGGTTCAGAAGTCCATGCTCAATCCACTGAGCCACACCAGCCAGGGCTTACATTTTATATACATGAAATAGTTCTGTATGTCATCATTTCACGACTGACTTATTTTGCTAATATGATGCTTGTAAGATTTATCCATGTCACTGCAAATGCACTGACCATATATTAAGTAACCTACTAAAAACAATACAAAATTGATTCCAAAGGCAAAGCATAGGTGATTTTTTCCTTTCAGCTCTTACATCAAAAAAAAGTATAAGTAATTCAAATAGGGTATACCATGTAAGAAAATGCAATTTTCCACATGTTTAACATTATCAGAAACTCACATTTTTATGGGAAATGAATGCAGGCACAGCTCCTCAAGTTCCCTCCCCATGTGGTCTGGCCCCTCTCTCAGGGAGAGAAAGAATTTCTGTGTGGATGACTCCACAAAGGCTGTAAAACTTGTTTCTATGTTACCTTTGTGTTTCAATTTCTCAGTTCTTCTGACCTCTTGTACTCATGGGTAACTGTCTGTATTAATACTATCACCTTTGGAAAGTTCTCACGGCGTGTATGTGTCTGGTCCTCTGGGGCGAGAAGCTGTTCAGCATTACCTGTTGGTTAAATCTGCTATAGGCTTCTATCCTGGCAACCAACCTTGCCATTCAGATATTTCTATCCTTCAGTCATAAAGAAGCTTCTGGAAAACTAAATAAAGCTCCTGCACAGCAAGGAAATCATGAGTAAAATTAAAAGGCAACCTACCGAATAGGAGAAAATATTTGCAAATCATATACCTGATAAGGGGTTAATACCCAAAAAGTGTAAAAAACTAATACAACTGAATAACAACAGCAATAACAAAACCAAACAAACAATCTGATTAAAAAATGGGTAGAGGATCTGAATCACATTTTCCCAAAGAAGACATATGAATGGCCAACAGATACATAAAAAAGGTGCTCAACATCACTAATTATGAGG